CCTACATCCTGAGTGCTTGGTCTAGCCAGCTGTCACAGCAAACACCTGCAGAAACACGTCCTCCTACTGAAGAGGTCGACAGACCAAGCATCAGTATCGGGATGACATAAAAAAAAAGGCAGAAGGAACAAAGCGCTACCACTGAAACAGTCCATAGTGACGTAACGATCAAAACATCCTCATCGCTTCTCAGCCTGTTTGTTTTCATCAGAATCTCAAGAAATTTCTTTGGCTAGCAGACTTTGGAGAGAAATTGCTTCAAACAGAACCATAATATCGATGCAGTACTGAACCAAGTGTGCAGTTTATGCTACAACATGAGTTTTGGTAACCTCTCCAGGTTCTTGCCAAAGGACAGAGAAATCCCAAGCTACACATTTGACAATAAGCACAACCTTCAGCGTGGGCTGACAGTTCATCAGACATAATCCTAATCCTTCTTTGCCCTCTATTGCATTTCAGCATATCAGATTCCACTTTTCTTTTTAAAAATCTGCAAACAGTACTGGATTATGTGGGTTTGGGGAAGGGGTGGAGAATGAGCTGGAAGGGGAAAGGCAGCAAAAAGAATCAGAAAAAAAAAAAAGCAAAGCAAGACATACACCCTTAGAAGAGAAATACCAAACCCCGCAAATCACAATAAAAATAAATTACTTTTGGCACCCAAACACTTGGAAATTGCAAAACTGTTGACTTAAAGAAAAGGAGGTGACCACTATGGAATGGCTTTAACACCTGTTTGTACACACCTGCAGGGGGTGCGAACAAGGATGAGAGAAATTAATCCTGTTGTTTTCCTCTTTGCAAAATACAAATGTAAAAATTGATAACACAATTTTACACTCATAAAAGAGTAGACTAACAATCTAGTTTGCAATGCCATGTTTCTGACTTTGGTTAATAGTTTTCATAGTGAATCAGCACTTGATACCTGAAAGGCTACCATCACTCCTCCAGGTGGCAGGCTTGTATTCGCTTTTAAACGGATAAAAGTTTTTTTTTTTATTTTATTTTGTTTGGTTTTTTTTGTTGTTTTGTTTTTCCTTAAAATGTGTTCACATTTTTTCATAATATACAGAAAAAAAGTAAGCAGTTATTTGGTTTACTTTAAGTCCATTTAAAAAAACTGGCTTTTTCTTTTTTTGGGGGAACTAATTCTACGACACACACACACACTAAGTGTTGTGTATTTTTTTGTTTTGTTTTTTTAAATAGGAAAACCCACGGACATTTATAAACTGTTCTGTCCTTCTTGTAGTTTTCTCAGTCTTTTACTTACAAGGGTGATGAACAGGTATTTTCACAGAGTTCGAATGGTTACGTTTCTGTTGGTGCAGGGGGTTTTTTTGTGTGTGGTTTGGTTTTTGTTTTGTTTTTAGGAGTTTTCTTCCAGAGAGTCTGTTAAAGGCTCCATAGGAACTGCCGTCGCAGGCTCGTGTTGTTTCAAACGTTTAATTGTGTTCTTCAGTGCTTGCCTCTTATTGCAGAACCAAACTCTAACTACTTCCCGGTCATAGTTCAGTTTCTCTGCAATCTCTGTCATTTCTTGCCCAGAGGGGTGCGTGTTCTTCTCAAAGTGGGCATTCAAGATTTCAAGGGCTTGTGGCGTGAATGAGGTACGCCTCTTGCGCTTTTTGGATGGTTCGCTTCCAATAAACTCGGTAAGGTTCTGCATACCTGCTCGATGGCGGGCCTCAGCCTCAGCCATCCACCGCTCAAGCACCGGCTTTATCTTCTGGGCACTTTTAGGGGTGATGTCCAGCTTTTCAAACCTGGCAGGATACAAAAGGCCAGGGTTCAGTTTGGCTGTCAGACTGCTAGCTATAGTGTTCTCTTGGGCTTCCTGTGGTAGGAAAAAGTGGCTTCTCAGGATGGTGTGTCTGAGGGAAAATTGAGAAAGAAGAGTCTTACACTGATGCTCTGCCAGGGTGGGACTTCCTGCCTGCCTGACTAATTGACTGGCAGAGGTAATTTACAATGGATTACGAAAACTACCAGATAGGTATATCTATAAATATATATATATATAGCTAGATATTTAAGCTAACACAAAACGAGCACTACAACAAAATTCTAAGTGCACTAAATAATACAGGTTATGAGTCGCGTTTTCATATTTTTGACAATCATCAAAACCCTTAAGGCTAAGTCTAATTACAGGAAATGACATCAAAGGCAATCGCTCTTTATTGTCTCATCTTTGTGATTAATCCTTTTGTTTCCCCTCCCCTCCCACCTTGTCCAAACACCACAGCTTTAATAATACAAACCAATGGCAGCTACTAGCCTCTGAATATCAGGTTTCGTTTCCTTTCATTTTCCAGCAATTTTCACTGTTTGCAAGTTAACGCTATATCCCTTTTCTGGGTCGGAAAAAGATTCCCATAGCTACGGTGGCGTTCAGCTGAAACAGCTGGACACTTTGCAATTATCTTGACTGCCCCCACAATGTGCAAAGACAGACTCATGTTTTCCAGATGAAACCCAGCATAATAGTCTACTAATATGCTGTGGCACCAAGCTGGGTTTATTGTGGGATTTCTGCAAACTGTACCAGAATGATATCATTTCCTGTAAATGAGGTCTCCTATATATCATTTTGCCATCAAAAGTCTTTTGCCAAACCAGATTTTACAAGTATTATAAAACATCTGGAAAAGCAGCCACACAAAGCTTTAATCCTTTCAAAAACAAGCAGAAGAGCTGAGTTCACATTTCAAGTCTTAAAAGTACTTGTTTCTTTCATTTACCGAGTTCATCCTCTCTTGCTACACATTAAAACGGTCTTAACCCAAGTCCTCTGATGCCACCCATTCGTATTTCCCCACTTCGCCTATGTCCACCGCGCACGTAGCGGTATTTAACGTTGCGGAAAGGGAACAATTATTGCGCGGTGCTGCTGCACTCTCCAGCCCGCCCGGTGCTGAAGCACCGACGCCGCCGCTAATCACGATGTGCTCTGGAGATGAGACCAACCGAATCAATGCCTTTGTGCAAAGCAACTCAGTGACTGGAGCTGGCAATTTTTAGTATCTCTACTCAGCACGTGGCGGCTGCAGAAAATACTTCAGCAAGAGACAAAGCATTTCTCACAGACAAAGAATAAGACAAGGAATAATTTCAGATAATAACACTCCAAGGAATTTGTAACTGGTGCCTGGGATCTAGTGTGGTATTGACTGCAAGGTGTCCTTCCTTGGTGTCCAGTGATATTTCAGGCTGAAGTGTATGTTTTAGAACGCATTGTCTCAGGTTAAGAAAATGCCGTTATTTGCAGGCAGAACATATCAGCAAGGTGGTAAACTGCTGACATGACCTGCGCAGGCCACCAGGAGACTCTACTTCTGTCTCCGAGTTAGTCGTTCAACTTGCTTACCTTACTGCCCCTTCCATTACCCTGCAGTTTGTACTGAAACTCCTTTGTTACCATTAAAAGAAAAGTTAAACCCACTATTTCTGAGGAACGGCATACCGCCGCTGAAGCGGCTTGTCTTGGTGCTTATCAAGAAATGCACAGTCATAGCAGGTTATTACACCCCAAAGTGATATCCATCTGGGGCGGTCAAGGGAAATAAAAAAAGACTATAACCTTGCAAGTATTCGGGACCAGCTTCTGCACCCAGTCCTCATGTTGAGCAATTTGCCCCTCTAAGGAGCCCTCTGTAAAAGGTCTCCACATTCTGGGCTTTTGTTAGCCATGTCTGTGCTCCAACTTCATCTTTATTGGGGTTTTCATGATAATCGGTTAGCGGGGAATGCTTTCTCTTAGCAAAATTCAAACCATCCCTGGTGGTTTTCTCAGGTGTGAGGTAGATGGAGAAAATGAGAAGACAGCAAACTGGACAAAAGCAAAGGAAAACTGCAGTTTATCACTTGAAGTATAGTGTGTTAAACAGCAACTTAAGGCTACAACAAATTGGCAGTTGCTAAAAACTCCACCTGTTTTAGGCATTCTTTACCAATTGACCACAGGGAAGGAAAAAAAAATAATGAAATTAATCCTTAGCAACAGGAAGCAATAGCATTCATATCACTGGCGTTGCTTGTTAGTGTTGATGCTGCAGTACATGTTGTTTGGTATAACGATATACAAGTCTTGAAACAAATTCCCCAGCAGTAGTATCCTTGTATAGACTGAATAAAGGTTATTTTCTACAGGGAGGTATCTTATAAGAAAAAACAGTAGGGGAGACCATAGAAGTGAGAGGATCCTATGGAGCTTTTTGTATTTAACAACAATCAATGGGTTTTATGGAAAATCATTGAGCAAAATGTGAGCTGCAAGCTCACTACCCCATACTGATGTTATTTATAACCTTAGTCTTAAACTGCAGGAAAAGTACACTTCCGTTCTATGGGGAATACATTAAAAGTATAAAGAGCAGATAAAAAGACAGAGCATTTCATGGATCACCAAGAACAAAATCCACTTAAATGAGCTTAGAGTTGGTTTCTTGGCTTTCACTGATGGAGAAGGACTATAAGGCATTGCCCAAGAGGAAAAAGCTGTTACCTAAGTGTGTTTGTTACCTCATGCATAAACATGGGATTACTGTAACACACATACGTGCACACACGGTGTTTGCTTCTAACTAACTCTGTCAAGACTGTATTACCATTTCTTATGATTAGAGGAGATTTCTGCTTCTGCTTTGCATACACGGGTTGTCTGGTTTTTTAGTAAACATTTGGGTGATAAAAGATGAATAGCTGCTGGTTTGCAAGACAGCAGGAAGGATAATTTTTGCCCTTCTGTGTTGCCTAGGTAAATCATCATTAACATCCTACATGTGAAGTGCTAACCACAGTAATACAGGTTTTAACTTAGCAGGGATGCAGCCATGAAATATTTGTTCAGTAACCCTATCTGTAGAAAATGGCACAGTATGAAGAGGGTCAGCTGGTGCTTATCCAGCATCAGCAGGGTCTCCAGCTCGTCTACTGAATTAAGTCTCAATGCCAGGAACATTGTTTCTCACTTGTTTAAAAAAGGAGGGGGGAAAAAAAAGAAGACTAAAGTTACTTTAGGGATACACAATAAGAACATTTGATCTGCCAGATACCAACATTATTGGCTAATTTAAGTCCCAGATTAAATAACACATTCTAAAGACATGGAAGCTCAAACGCAGGCATGCTCCTCGCAATAAGCTGAATAATTATTAAGCACAAAGAGAGGAGAGTTTATGATGTAACGTGTTACCTGCAGATGGCCGACTGGCTATAGGCTGGGCCTTCGGTGGCACTTAGGGCTTGGCCAACTTGAGTCTGGGTCAGGCCAAGAGACAGGCGCCGGATTTTAAAAGCTTTGGCAAATTCTCGGATTTCTTCCAGATTCACCCCGTCCACCTCTCCAGTGGCTGTTTGAGGATCTGTTGAAATATTTTTTTAATGATGTCAGTTCTTCACATCACATAAAAGTGGGCTAGGCTTACATCAGCTTCCATTGTCAAGATGTTCATGTTCTTTTTTTAAAAATACTTATCCCTTTCTCTTCTTCCCCAAACAGGAACAGGCTTGCCTTGCCAGGTGTGTTACGAAGCACGTTCAGATTGCTAAAATGCTAACTAGACGGCAGTGTTTCCAGGTGCTGGTGAAAGATTTTGAAAGACATACTTTGTTGCTGAACTCCTGAAAATGGCCAACTCGCCTCAGAGCGAGGGGGTGCCTGGGCTCCTCACTGTCACTTGTGCCTTCCAAAACCTTCCCCGGGTTGACAAGTCGTGTTCCCCGTTTCCCCTTCTTATCACATAAGAAGGAAGGCTGGTGTTAATGCATTTATTTGCAATCTGTCGGGAGGGCTAAATATACGCACGAACTGCTTGGGTTTTAAATTTGAAATCAAGACTTTCTGCTTTATCTAAAATTAATGCCAAATAAGGAGATTCACAAACCTTCCTTCCCTTTTCCACAATACCTAACCCAAACTGCCAGCCACACGTTCAAAATAACCCAGCAAACGAACAAGCCCAAACAAAACGCTGCCTTGAAAAACTCCTTAATCTAAAAATAATCTTATAAAATACGCCCTTCTGAGAAGCAGCCTTTCAAGCTTTTCATTCTGCCTCCCATCAGGTTGATAATCAAGGAGCAGCAACATCAGCCATTAGGTTTCAGATGGTAATGCAGCACAATTTTTTACTTTTACATTAGCCCCTCAGAAGATAATGCTTATGATGCTGTGAGAATAAATCTGTCCTTCCTCCCCATAGCAGTTTACTGACACAGAAGCCTTTGTCCCTGAAAGGGCACATAATAAAGCATCTCTACCACAGGAAGGCTCCTTTGGTGCTGGATAACTCGGTCAATTTAGGACTTATCAAGGGAAATGACACAACAGCTGGAGAATGGAACTTTTTTTCCCCCCAAGCTACTGATCCCTGGCTAAATGAAAGCGTTTGCCAAGTCGGAGACAGCATGGGACTGGGATGGTGGAAGATTTCAGTGTTGTGCAATCCTGCGTGTAGTGAAGCCATTCTCCCAGTGAGACATCTCTATTGTTCTCCATCTCATTCCTCAGACTTCTTAGGTGAAAAGTTTGCAGCACAATAACCCCTCAATTTCTGTAAATGCAAGCAGTTGTCCAAGGACGGTGCTAGACTATATTACTATCCTGAACCCTGTACGAGAGTGGCTCCTGCTAGTACTGCTACAGCTACGGGCTTGTCGGCATTACAGTAACAAAGCTTTTACTTTCAGGGGTTTATAAACCTGATGTAAAATTCCCTTATGATGGAAATGTCCTATAAAAAAATCTTTTAGTCCAATAATAGACAGAGCCAAGAGGTTTTTCTGCTATATAAATTTAACCTATATCGATTCGTAGCTTGAGTGTAAGAAGCACACATAGCAATAGTATTTTAAAAGTACTTGTGTATGCAACCAGGGACCATGTGAACTATGCATACAGGTAAGCACGCACATAGGTTGAACCTAGTTTTGACAATGCTTCATGCTCAGAAGCATCCCTCCTGTTGTCAGTGCTGTGCGTGAGCTCACCTGTGCACACGTGCGTGCGCTCATTCAGTATAAAGCTCGGGTGCCTATTATTTGCTCTTAAGTAGTTGGTGCTATGACAGGGGCCACTCAGGTTTGTAAAGTCAAGGCTTTAGAGGTGTGAAATTTTCCTGCTTACCTCACATACAGCATATCTAGCATACCAGTTCTGATTTTCGGAGACACAGAATGGAGCTGGATGCTTATCTGCCTTTTGGGTCTCTGAAGAGCAACTGATAAATGTTCAAAATACCATAAATGATAAGGGCCTCAAAGATTCCCTTGAGTAAAGTGCACTAAGATGGTGACCTTCCTCACCTCTTTCCTTCCTTCACTTTAGGGCCTCTGACTAAGGCTATTAGGGATGTGACAAAGGACAGTTCAGGTGTTCCCAGAGAACTTTCAAAGTAGAAAACACTATGGCAATTGGCACCTGTAAACTTCCCCAGCTCCTGTCAGGAATAAAAAGAGAGGTAGGAAAGCTAAGGGGTTATTTGCTCGCACGTGATCATAGAGAAATTCTGCCAAGTTCTGCTGGATCCTTCTGCTATGGCACCGTTGCAACAGTATCGTGGAAAGTCCTTTCCTGCTCGGGGGACTTGGACGAGGGAACAATTAGGCTGAGATCTCCTTGACATGAGAAAAAAACCTGTGATGAACTTCAGGAATACGGGAATAGATTGTAATATATGGTGGGGTATCTGTTGAGAAAGAGGCTTCATTCTTATGTAGCGTCTTTGGGGGGACGAAATTACTAAGAGAGGTGGACGGAAACACTGAAGCCTTTCATCCCTGAACTCTAGGGAAAATAGCGTTTGTATCAAATCAGAACCACTTCTACTTCAGGTGTGATTCAATGCCCTTTGAAATCCATAGAAGTACTCCCTTGATTTCTGTCAGCTCCATAAAACTCAAAGAGTAATATGAAGATTACTCTATCAACATCATCATATAACAGCACTGGTCTGTTTTGCTCTATCGCCATTAAAATACCACCAACACATAATCTCGGACTCTGTGGACTAATACATACACATACATAAACATATACAAATAGATAATAGACTTTGGTTTAGTAAGTTCTGAGCTCTGAGAACAGTTAAGTGTAAGTGCACTTCACGTTTTAGGAAGAGTAGCTTACTGAAGTCAATAACTAAACCGGTGCTTTTTAAATTAAGTTGACATCCTAGAGAAGGCAGCACAGTGCCAACAGGAAAATAAAGAATGCTGATCCCGTTGAGTGGTGGGGACCCACAGTAACAGCATTTAAAGGCTCCTGGTGGACATTACAGCTTGGTAAAACAGTGGCTGTTGTGGCTATGGAACTACTGGGTGCTGGAGAAAGGCGAGAGAGTTGTCTGGGACCATTTTAGGGGATATGTACACACAATAAAGAGGAAGCCAGCCAGCTAAAAATCCCTCAGATGCCTTGGTGGATGGTGAAAGTGGACAAGCAGAGTGGAAGAAATAAAACCCACAGACTCTCCTTCTGCATGGAAACCCTTTTTTTTTTCCTACTGAAGGGAATACTACTCCCACTTTTGAATTCTTCTGAAAATCGCACATGAGTTTGTTGGTGAGTGCAAATATGCTGTGAT